AACTCCATCTAAAAATGCCGCCATTAATAAATAATAAAAAGCCAGGCTAAATGGTAAAAGGGAAAAAGGAACTTTGAAAAGCCACAAATGAACACTAAGTGACTTGTGACTCAAAATCAAGTTTGTATGGTGCCTCTAATGTTTAGCATTTACCACTTATGTAAGCAGAGTTCTAATAATACCTGATAAATAATTCCAATTATAACTCATGCATATGTAACTTTTGTGTAATTTCTGCTGAAGTAGCGAATACACAGTTTGGATTGGACTATAAACTATATACAGGCATAACAATTTTACAGAAAAAAAAAAAAAAAGATTGTCCCAGTAACTGAGAGTAACTTTACCATACCAAAATCGATGGTGAGCTTATTGACATCATGAATAAACGGCTCGTTTTACTTCTGGCTCAAACTGAACTCAAACTCAAACAGTATCCGTTCAACTAAACATTCTTCCTCACAGCACAGACTAGTGGCTTATGTCCCATATGTCCTTGCATATAAACCTCTCTACATTGACTATTTAGATGTCTGGAGCAATCCATGCATTTTTAGCCAGATCATTGGTTGAATCCCTCTGATGCTAAGCAGTTCAGATGAAGTATTCCTTCTTGTTGTCTGTGACGGTGTCGTTGTAGACCTGTTCTGGGTCTACTCCTGGTGCCGGCTCACCTGCGGTTCTGTAAACACCCTTACTGTGGCACAGGTATCGGTACAACAGGAATCCACAGAGAGCGAGGGTCACCAGGATCAGGGCAATTACCACTAGAAGAAAAGTGGACAATAGAACAAATGAAGATATATTACTCTCAAAAATAATAAAGTGAGAAAAGAAAAAGCCCAAAATAATCAAAAACAAGATATTTTGAAAGTGTTTTTAATGGTTTTTTTATTATTATCTAAAAGGCATAAAGATAATTTTTCCCGAATTTGGAAATCAAACTTCAAACTTTCAAAATAAACAAAATTCAGTTATTGAATGTAAACACACACAGTTTGGGGTCAGTTTTTTTTTTTACCCTTTTATTTCACAAGGACGCATTCAATTGATCAAAAGTGACAGTAAAGTCATTTATAATGTTACAAAACTTTTATATTTCAAATGAATGCTGTTTTTTGTTTTGTTTTACTTTGTTCAGCAAAGAATCCTGAGAAAAAGTGTCACGGTTTCCACAATAATATTAAGCAGCATAATAATATGAAATGTTTCTTAAGCAGCAAATCAGCATATTAGAATGATTTCTGAAGGATCATGTGACACTGAAGACTGGAGTAATGATGCTGTAAATTCAGCTTTTTCATCACAGGAATAAATTACATTTAAAAATATATTACAATAATAATAGTCTCATAGCATTCATAATATATATATATATATATAATATGTAGCCTCATTGAACAATACCTTACAAATCTGAAACCGTCCCCACAAAAGCTTTCTAGGAGTGTCCAACACAATATGATTCAGTGGCTTTAGTCTAATATCATGATCTGCACTGACGTGTCCTATAGTATAAACTAGACTGATAGACTGGCAGACATTTACCTCCTATTACAGTCGAGTCTGTTTGTGGTGTAGCAGTAGCAGCTGTAGTATTTGCTGCAACATCTGTCACTGTGAAAAAAACAAAAACACTGAAGACGACACAAAACCTGTATGTCAAGATTAAATGCACTAAAATGTGGAATTACAACCATTTCAGCTGGAGAACATGATAAGCATTGTTGAGGAGTAATCAGATTAGGAGAGAAAAAAAAATCATGGCACGATGTTAGGCTTTAACTGTGCGTAGATTTTATTTAATGCTTCACTACACCAAATGAGGCCAGGATTGAAATGTGTACATGTATTACGTATATGTTAAATAAATTGTGTTCGTACCAAGACAGATTATGTTGCACTAGACTAGGCTAGTAAACTGTTTGATACATTGTTTGATATGAGTGACACACCCAAAGCCTGTGAGGGAAACTTATTATAGTGTGCTCTTTATATTAGAAGACATGGTGCCCAACTTACCACTAGGTACAATGCTAGCCGTGGTGAAAGTCATACTTGTATCGGAACGGACACCTGTGTGGAGCAAAATAAAGACTTGTGTCAACAATTACACTTTTAGTATCGCCTGTGACTGTGAAACAGTCATATGACTTATTGAGTAAACCTCATTTATACAATAACTATTAAATGTGGACAAACATCACTGGGTTGTGAGACAGACGCATCACTCAACAACCTGTACAGTAAGTACATTAAGGTCTACTGACACTGACTGAAGTGAGGGACGCTGACCCATAAGAGTTTGGGGACTTGATCTTTCTACATTTGGACTTCTTGGGTCAAAGTACTTTTCAAAGACTTGCGTCAACCCATTTTTCAAAATAATTCTACAACTATACATCACAGGTTCAGGGACGTTCCACAGAACAGGTGCCTTTTCTAGTTTGATAGTGATTTTTCAGGTACATTGTTTATGTTGGACCAAAATTATGTCTTTTTTTAAATGAAAGATGAAACCGACATTGCAAATGTTGTTCAAAAACACATTTTGACTTCTCAAATGCCAACGCCGTTTCACTACACGAAATGTTTAAATTAATTGATAAAGAGGATACATCGTCCTTGGAAGTTCACTTGTTAAAAGGATGACAATGTCATTATGACAAGGTGTTTTATTTATTGAATAGTCGATTACTTTCAAAACATTGATGAAAAAATCCAACTTCAAGAATACACTGTCAACTAAAATATACAGAGATACAATGACTGTGTATGTGTGTGTGGTTCATATATCCCCTTATGTTATGGGGACAAAATGTCGCCACAATGATGGCAATACCTGAAATCCTTGGGGACATTTTTTTGGTCCAGAGTCGTTTACACCGTGCTCTCTCGTCTCATACATTGTATCCTGTTTTGGTGTCGTAAATCTATTTAATTACTTCAAGAATACAGCTATGATACACACTAAAAATTTGAAATCCTTTTAGTCACTTTATTTCACATTTTTCGTTTCAGCTTGCAGGCCTTCTTCAGTGTGTATTCCCCCTTTAAAAAAAGTGAAATAAAGTGACTAAAAGGATTTTGAATTTTGAGTGCGCACCATAGCTGTATTCTTTACTTTTTTTGGTCCCTATGAGGAATACAGCTTATAAGTCATCATACTAAATGATGTTTTTGAAAATGTAAAACTGCACAAAGAAAGCCCCATAAAACATGGTGTGTGTGTGTATACAGTATAAAGATCATTACATCTTTGTAATGTCACCATAATGAAACCGGTGTCTGTGGCCTGGTAAACCCTACATTGTGGGGGCAAAATATCCCCATAAAGATGGTAATATCTGAAATCCTTGCGGGGACATTTTTTGGTCCCCATGAGGACTTATAAATCATATAAGTGATATTTTTTATTCAGTTTTCTGTGATGGGTAGGTTTAGGAGTCGGATTAGTGTAAGGAGATAGTTTATACAGTATAAAAATCAATATGGAAAGTCCCTATAAAACTTGAAAACAACGTGTGAGTGTGTGTGAGTAAAAGTTGGAAACACAAGGCTGGAGACAATGAGGAAAGTCAAAAAATCATTTTTAGATGTAGTTAGGAAAATGTCTAGGCCTAATATAAACAAACATTAAAGGTTGAATTACCTGAATTAGCTCTTCATTATTTATCTTATATTTATACACACATATATAATGTACACAATATCACCCATTTTATGGAACCGCCCTTCTGTTATAAATAAATGCTGTAGCAGCAGTCACAAGTCTCACTTCCTAAATTTAATTTAAATTTAACTTTCCTTGTTACAAATCTTGTAGGGTTCCGAAACACACGACGCTTATTTTTAAAAGGATCTCGTCGTGATGTAACTTAGGCACAGTAAACACAAAGCTAGAGGTAACGTTACTGGGGTCGCCAAATACTCAAAGGAACAGTGTGTTTGTAGAGACAACCTAAAACTAATTATGTTATTTTATCGATGGTAGTCGGAAAACCCCTCTCACACTGTGAACGATCACTTTAAAAAGCTGCAAAACTCTTAAAAATAATTGAACAGCTGTTCAGCCATTTGAGACCGTCAGATCTACTTTCAGCCCAACAGGAACAAAATAAAACTTACCTGAGTGCTTGAGTGTCAAAGTCGCGGATGAACTACTTTTCAGTTAAAGATGGCGATCACGGTGATAAAAGTTAAACTTCAGACTGATAAATAATGAAAAGTAGACTGCGTTCTTTTCAAAGTAGAACAGCGTAAAGCCACCACACACGCTCACTGAGCGATGCCCGATTTTGCATGAATCATTCTTTTGAGTCGAATCTTTTCTGAGCTTGTCTCGAGTCAATAACCATACCTGACTCATTTAACCGAATTCGAACCATAGACTGTAAAATGTCCGTAACGTCGGGACTGATTGCTTTTTGTTTAGTTTTATTATTTATTAAAACATGCAGAAACATTTTTGTGACTAAATGAATTTTAGTAGTTTTAATAGGCCGAATGTAAATGAAAAATATGTTCAGTTTCTAAAATGAAATATGCCGTTTTCTAATAGCCTATCATAGCTGAGACTCGTGAAAGTGGATTTAAAAACCTCACTAATAAAATGTAATATAAAAAAAAAACCAATAAACTACATAGTATACTTTTATTGGGACGTTTGAGTGCGTAACATGCCACCAGGTGACGTAATTGCGTCACGAAGTAAAAGAACCGTTGACTCGTTTATAAACAGGTTCTTTGAAACAAATAGTTCAAAAGAGCCGATTCGCGGAAACGAGATGAGCTTGTGCGCGTTCACAAGCGTTTCCTCCTGCCCGCTCCCGTGAAGAATCAAACAATGGTCGCATTCCACGAAATGACTAATATTAACCAGCAACCACACCAGCATGCTAGACTAACCTCTGAAAAATAAAGAACGGGGATTTGGATCATTAGTTTAATTGCTTGAGTGTGTAATGAAAAAAAAACAATGAAAAAAAAAAACAATAGGCGAGTGGTAAGTTAATTTTTAGTAATAGTTTTGGGTTGATTGTCAAGTAGTACATTATAAACATTTCCATTGTTTCCTGTGATCATTTGTCGATTAGATAAATGGATGTCATATAAAGAGTAATAGCTATATCTAAAAACATTAAAATCCATAAGAAGGAACACCACATGTGAAGGATAAAAGACAAAACAGGAAAGTTATTATATTCTAAAAGAAACTGTACTTGAATTAAAACCCAGAATTTAAACATTTCTCTGAAAAAACATATCTCAAAAGATCAGGGATGGAATTTTTTTTTTTATCCAAGTCAGTACAGCATTTGGAAATCCTCTCTTATGTTGTGAATTTGCTGTCCAATTCCAGTGTATTTCCAACAAACAACGCGTCTTTTCTGTAAACATATGAATTTGAAATGAAATACACATTAAGCCATTTGCTCATATGGATTAAATGAAACACATAATCACAACATGAGTGTGAGATGTAAGTGCTCTCACATTTTACTGACCTTTTGTCTGCTATTTAGGGGCTTCTGTTTTCGTTCCTTCCTTCACCTCTCCTGACGGATGGTCACCCTTGTTTACAGCCTTGAAACAGGTCAGATAAATAAAAATCACACCTCTTTTTGATTTACATTGTTATGTTTCTTTGAGGAATGAATATAACAGCTATACATTCAGAATGGAATGTATGTTTAGGGTTACAGAACTCACATAGCTTGAAGCATCAGTTTCTTTCACATCTGATTTAGGGTCACGAGCTATTCCATTCTCCACACCAGAAGGCCCATCATTCTCCACCTTCTCAGATGATTTTTGATCTTTGATCTTGGAGCATTCGGCGGGACTCGAGTTGCTCTCATCACTGTCCTCCTCAGAAGACTCCTCCTCATTTGGCGTATCCCCCCGTCCATCTTGACTTGAGGCTTGCGAGGACTCTTTCTTTTCGGCTTTCTTGTCTTCTAACACTGGTTTATCTTCAGAGGTGCTGGTGTCATCCACCTGTGGCTCGTCCTCTGTATCGTCTAATCTTATAGGGCCGCCTTTTGCACCAGAGACGTTCTCATAAAGGGGTAGAGGGCTGGGGCTGTATGACCCATATGCTGGTCTGTCAGACCTAAAACTGGATGAGTTGCCTCTCCTGTAATAGCAAATGTATGGAGAATTATGTTGGTTTGCATCTTGAAAACAGATATCCTATTCATTTATGTTATGCGTGCAGTAATGTATATACAGGTAGACCGGGGCTAGTTGTCATAAGTCAATATAAAGTTTTGGCAACAGATTTTAAATCATTTACATTGTTATTGCCCAGTTAAAAAGATACAAACTTTTTTTTTTGGTGTAAACATGCCAAGTTAAATGGGTTAAGTTGTCACATAGGGAACTAATAAATACCTGAATATAGGCTGTTTAAATGTATATATAGCTAAACTCAAATAGTAAAACTATTATGAGCCACAAAACATTCATTCTGCAATAATGGGAAAGGTTAAAAAATATACTAAATTATTATTTTGGACAAGTGATATTGTATCAAACAAATAAACAAACAAAACCACTGCTAGTAAACAAGTATTTGTGTAATTTGACTTTTGATTTAAAAATAAATGTTGTAACTCTTCTTTTATATAACTAATCATGCACATTCACCAGCAGATGGCATTAGTTCCCAACTTTTTAAATCTGCAAGGCAAAGAGAAATTGAAATGATGATTTTACCTGAGAGAGTCCCTGGGGCTGTAACCCTTGTGCATATCATAAAAGCTTTTAAGTGATCTGGGAGACAACGTGTCTCTAAAGGACCTTCTTTTCAAGGAACCTGAGCTTAAAATGAAACAAAGAGAGTCATTTGTACTAGATTTGCCAGCTAAAGTCTTACTGCAAAAAGTCTTACTGATATTTAACTTGTTTATTTAAAAAATATGTATTGAAGAACAGCCTATAAAGCCTTATACCGGTTCAAATTCTTCACGACAAAGCTCTTGTCTGGATGTTGGATGCTCAGCTCTTTCATCACAGTCTGTAGAACCTCGTTGTTCTAGGGCAAGAAACAAAACAAAACAAAAAGTAGTTGCAGATCATGAGGAATCACTGTTCATTGATTCAAGCTGTATTTTTTTACTTTTGGTTTACCTTGGTAATTTCCTTGTAGAAGATGTCTCTGAGGTTGCAAATGGCTTGGAAGACTGTGACATAGCAACCAATACGACTATAGAATGCAGAACAAATTGGCCAAGTTTCAGTTTGTAGATGTAAAAAAAAAAATGAATTCATTTTTCTCATCTAAAATGAATTAATATATCTATATATAGGCTATACTGACCATAAATTGAGCAGGCGGTAACACTTTATATTACAGTCCTGTTCCCCGTGTACATATTATGTATTGTAGTAATTACAATAACTGGGTAATAAAAACTAACCCTGAATTTATTAACAAGTACTTTCTTTGGTAAGTAGACGTACAGTAAGTGCATGTACTGTAAAATAAAGCGAAACCATATAATTTATAGCCATTCAAAATCTTTATGATATTTCATTTGTTTAATGAATTAACATTTGAACAAGTTCCATCTGTGCACTATAAAAACAACTCCAAAACTCACGTGTCAGATAGAATAGGCAGTTCCATCTTCAGCTCCCTGTTCATGTCCTCAAATATCACCTTGGCTGCATTCATCTCGTCCTCTGCCTTAAAACAACAGCACAAAGGAAAGTCCCATACATCTGGTCTTCATAAATCATGTCAGTATGATGCTAGTTATGTCATGTTTGGAAGTAAAGAACATGATTGGAAGGTTAGAGCTTATCTGTAAGGTTACAAACAAACTTACTGAGTGACTGTTGCTCAATGTCGGTCATAAAATAGGCTTACCTTTCCAATTTTGATATCATCCTTCTTTTTAGCATTCTGCATCCCTGTCAGGTGATGACGAGCAGAATCATAGTCTACGAGTTTCCTGTTTCGCTTGGCCACTCTTTCCTGAATCATGAAGAAAAATAGTTGACAGACGAAACTGCTCATTTAAAAAGAAAAAGAAAATATTGAGAGCTTTGTGTGAGATGTATGCGCCAATATGTCAGGCAGCCGTTTTTACCCTGACATCTGGAAACTGGCTCATGTAAGACTCCATAGTGATTAATGCCTGATCATGCAGCTTGGACTCATAATCTTTCCACAGAAGCTCTTCTCCCTTTGGAACACAGAGAGCCACATTTGTAATAAAAGCATAAATGCAATCTGTTCATCATATAAAGCGATCACGTCTCTTCAGAAAATTTGGACTAAACCGGCCGCTCATATTCATATTCGTTTTACGATCTTTTAATGAACGTTTTGAAGCGCCAAAGTGTCAGTTGCGTAGCTGCCAATGGAAACGATCAAAAAGATCTTTGTTTGTGTTCCAAAGATGAACGAAAGTATAACGGGTTTGGAACGACATGAGGGTGAGTAATTAATAACAGAATTTTCATTTTGGGGTTAATTATCCCTTTAACTGACAATGTCCTGGCAGAAATGTAGCCTATACCAGCCATATCAGTTTTTCTACAGAATTTTTTTCTTACAGTGTGGTCTCTGAGACTTACCTCCACAACTTCCCCAAGATCTTCTACACCATCCCATTTATCGTCATAGGCATCAAACAAGGACTGAAACAGTCGACCTGAAGCATCCTTCATTACTGTTAAACATCAAGCACAATAAAACATGTCAGTATTCCTGTTTAAGCTTATCTCCTGCACGAGTCTCACAGTAAAGAGCCAACCTGTGACAGCGTTGAGGTACGCTTTAAGGTCCTTGTATATTCTGTATCCGTCGCTCTGCAATAGAAACCACAAGGAAAAATGAGGTCAACTTTTGATCTTCAAAGCTGTTACTTTGGATACAGTAGATGTAATGTAGCCTATACCTGTTGAAATTGGAGGTTCATCACACACTGCTCAAAGTGCTCATCTTTGGTCTCCTCAGATTTGCCAAGTCTCTGCAAAACCTGCAAAGGGATCACATATTACAACGTGCCTACAAACACCTGACAGCCTTGACAAGGGTATTCTCCAAGTATACTGCCAGCTATGCAATGGATGTTACACCTGATCCTTAAAATATTGATAAGCTCACACTGACAAAGAAAAAAAAGCTTCCTTAGAGTTTTAGATCCTAAGACCTATTCATCTGACTTCACCAACAATCAGTTTTGAGATGACAAGATATGAAGGGTTTAACAGGTGAAAACAGAAAAGTAAATGGTGACTTGGTCAGGCAGACAAATTAAAACAATTCTGGGAATAAGCAGAGAAGGAAGCTGCATGTTTGTATTGGTTCTTATTGATGGAGTAGATAAAGCAACTTGTGCCAGCTACTCCCATGTCATGTGACTGAATCGATTACTGGATCAAGATAACACTAAAGTTTCTGCGCTCTCAAACAGGAAGACTGACAGCATTGGAAAGCACACCGGCTCTCTTAACTCTACTGTGTTTTATGATTCCAGCCACGTACCTTCTCCTGTGCCCGGCTGAATTTTTTCTGCACCTGTTTAGCAAGCACATTGGCCCCTCCTTTTGAGCTGATGCTGGCCTTGCTTTCTGCCATGTTCTTCACTTGTATTCAATCTGGAATAATGTTTCAATAGCCCTTCAAATTAAATGGCCAACCCTGGAGAATAAAATGAACTTTTTAGAGCAAAAGACAGTTGACTTGGTGTCCTTCGCCTGTATTCTGTCTGAGCCTAAACACACCTTCTCTTGTTTTGTTTTTTTACAGTCATAAGTCATAAATTTCTTATCTTTCAGGTTGTGACTTGAGCACTTTGGAGGCCCCTGAGTCATATTTCATGTGAATGGGTATTTGATGTAAGGGCCCACTAGTGGAGTCAGAACATTGAAATTATATTATATTATATTATATTATATTATATTATATTATATTATATTATATTATATTGTATTATATTATATTATATTATATTGAACTGAGCTGAATAATGACACTATTATCTTCTTTAGAGCTGCTTCACAGCTAAAATTGAAGTTGTTTCAAAATGAATGAATTTTGCAGCATTAACACCATTATTTTCCTGTTTATTACTTTGAAGCTGCTTAGAAACAATCTATATTGTAAAAAGTGCTAACTGTATAAAAGAGATATGTAGAAGTTTGTCACATTTGCACCTATTTTATACTATTCTATTGTATTTCATATAACATAATGAAGATCAAACATTCAACTTGTTCTATTCTATTCTGAATCAAATAAGTGGAAGTAAAATTTTGCATGTCTATTGTTTTATATTGTGTTCTGTTCTAGGCTACTATTCTATTATGGGTCCATTATGGGTATTTCTATTCTATTCTATTCTATTCTATTCTATTATATTCTATTATATTCTATTCTATTCTATTCAAGCAGTACCTAATACATAAAAAGCATTGTAGATATTCTCAAACTACAGTTCCCATAAGCCACCATACGCACAGAATCAGCATTGGCCACTCCTCCTCTTCCAAGTGTGTATGTTATGAACTTTGCTCTGCCGTATTTTTTTCTATAGGGTTGTATGTTTGAGCTCAAGTTCGCAACATTGCTGCTTCTGAACCAGCTGGAGATGATCATGGGAAGCACGTTGGCCAAATGTGCAGCCATCGACCTGGCCGTTCAGTGGGTCGGATGGGCACTAGCGTCTACTCTCAAAACTGAAAAGTTTTACGACTTGGCAGGTAAATGATTTATCCAAAAGGCGTAGTAATCACGATCTTGATATAGTAATATAATATTTGCTGCTTAATGTTTATGCATTAGATTGCACACGCCTATATGGTATTTCGTATGTGTGTTGTATCATGTGTTTCGTTGGGTCGCAACTTGTTTTTACTTGTTTATTATGAAAAATAGGTTGTTATCAAAATGTATTATGAGACGGTGGTTATCTAAACTACAATTAGGTGTTGTGAAACCACCATAAATACGTCTCCACCCACAAGACACGATCTTAAACCAGCTTAATGAAAGCGCATGATTTCCCCCTCCCGTATTTCGACAAGCCGTCCTTTTAACCAATCAGACAAATTACTCTACAGAGTAGTCGTCGCTTGATTGGCCAAACTATGGATACGTCACTGTCAATCATTCAGCTAGAGGCGGGACTTGTCAAAAACGGATGGGGAAAAAATAACGACGTTAACTCGGATATGTGATCTTTTATATAAATAACTTCATGTGCAATAATATAATTATGCTATTTTAATTTTTTTTTAAATTAAAACGTATGCATAGACCTCGAAAATCAGTTATATTAACAGTGGAAAAATACATTTTAAACTTCTGTATAGATTTTAAAATACATTATCACACAAACTATCATAATTTTCAACACAACAGTAATGTTTTATACAGCATATATTAAGAATTTTGACAGTTATACTGATTATAATTGTATTCATTGCATATAGAAAGTGATCATATCTTGAGAACATTAGGATATGATTATCCATGTAGTAATGCAAATTCTTATTTTCTACATAAAACAAAAACAAAACAATAGCTTCTACTTACCTGTCAGCATTCAATATGCATTTCTTTTTAATGGAGTACAAAAATTATCCAACCATTTCAGTCTTTCAAACCCAGGTTCCTGAGTGCTATTCCCTCTTTCTTTCTCTTTGAGAAGTGTGCTCTTGAGAATCCTTGAACTTTGCTACCAATTGTCTCTATGTTCATTGGTAAAATATTCAGTGAACACGCCTCACTTTTAAAATGGACGGACACAGGTGACTGGCTGCTCTGCCCATATCTGGAGGGATATTGAATGCCTTATCAGTTTAACCACAAATTCATTTTGTTGTTTTGTAGGATCTGGTACCTATATATTGCTGGCTCATCTGAGTCGTGTATGGGGCGGAAATGGACACCTTAGACAGAACGTACAAACTGGACTTGTTACTGCCTGGGGACTGAGGTAAGATAGATGGATAGATTGGATTGGAGTCTGGTTGCTTTAACAGCGTTAATAAAAGGGAAGTCAGTCCAGCTTCATGTTGTATTAAAGTATATATTAAGGTCTGGTTAATAAGTCAATAAGTAACAGATTGGGCCTTGTCCTGCAGACTTGGGACATTTCTCTTTCTTAGAATCTTAAAGGAAGGACAAGACCGGAGGTTTAACAATGTCAGAGACAGCCCTGGGACATTCTTTGTGTACTGGACCATGCAAGGTATTTCAACTAAGGCTATTGATTATTTGCATAGTTACTGCTAATTGATGGCTGAAGTTGGCCATACGTGTCCAATCCTTATCAAAACAAAAAGAGACAACTAGGAAAGTAATTATATTATGAATCACATAAGGAGAAGTTTTGCACCTATTCTATACTGTTCTGTTTTATATCACATAATGATGATCAATCATTCAATCTATTCCATCCTATATCTCTATTCTATTCTATTTTGAATCAAATAAGTGGATGTAAATTATTGTGCATCTATTCTATTACATTATTTATTATTTGCATAGTAGGCCATACTTGTCTAATCTTTAAACATCACACTAAAATAATGTCACAAAAAAAAAGAACTAGGAAAGTAACTCTAAAAAGAAATTCTACTAAACCCAGAAGCGTAATAGACTGAGTAATAGATTGAAACTTGTTTTTTCTCCTTCTTTCCAGCTCTGTGGGTATTTGTTACCCTCTTGCCCACCCTAATTCTAAACAGTGAGAGAAGAGACCAGCCCCTTGGCCCACGTGACTACATCGGTTGGGGAATATGGGGGCTGGGTTTTGCTACAGAGGCCATTGCCGACCAGCAGAAGTGGAATTTTAAGAGTGATCCAGATAATGCTGTGAGTAATAACTTGCACTGATAATAATAGGCTGATAAGACTACTCAGTTGTGAAAGCTAATGACATGTAAATCATATAATTCATATCATAAAAATATATTTTAACATAACTACAGTTTTATGAGACCTGCACTCTTGACAGATTACAAACTGGATCAAACTGGTTGTTCTTAACCCTCTGGTTGTCTTTGGTCATAATGAACCAAAAGAAAATAGTTTTTGAAAAAATTTTACATTATCGGAATTATACAAATCTTGGTGACTTTTGTGGCACTTGCCATGAGAATACACAAAAAAATGTAAACATGAACAATTTTTTGGGGTGCAATCTACACATCAGCAACAAAATAGTCTTTGAGAATGTCTAAATATATATCCAAATGCAAACATAATAAAATAATGTAATTATGTCTGAAATTATTCTTATTAGCAACTGGGAAAAGCACAGCCCTATATATTGGCTATACAGGCATCTAGTGGTTACACAATGGTATTACATATGATTTTATTTATTTCTTCCAGCAGATGGCACTAATCTGCCTTTTTTCTAATACCGTTGCTATATTTTTACTTAAATACTGTATTAATTGAAAATAATATAATAATTCTATAAAAAAACTTCTTGTATTTGTTTTAATATATATAGACATACAGGTCCTTCTAAAAAATTAGCATATTGTGATAAAGTTCATTATTTTCCATAATGTAATGATAAAAATTAAACTTTCATATATTTTAGATTCATTGCACACCAACTGAAATATTTCAGGTCTATTATTGTTTTAATACTGATGATTTTGGCATACAGCTCATTAAAACCCAAAATTCCTGTCTAAAAAAATTAGCATATTTCATCCGACCAATAAAAAGAAGTGTTTTTAATACAAAAAAAAAAAGTCAACCTTCAAATAATTATGTTCAGTTATGCACTCAATAGTCAATACTTGGTCGGGAATCCTTTTGCAGAAATGACTGCTTCAATGCGGCGTGGCATGGAGGCAATCAGCCTGTGGCACTGCTGAGGTGTTATGGAGGCCCAGGATGCTTCGATAGCGGCCTTAAGCTCATCCAGAGTGTTGGGTCTTGCGTCTCTCAACTTTCTCTTCACAATATCCCACAGATTCTCTATGGGGTTCAGGTCAGGAGAGCTGGCAGGCCAATTGAGCACAGTAATACCATGGTCAGTAAACCATTTACCAGTGGTTTTGGCACTGTGAGCAGGTGCCAGGTCGTGCTGAAAAATGAAATCTTCATCTCCATAAAGCTTTTCAGCAGATGGAAGCATGAAGTGCTCCAAAATCTCCTGATAGCTAGCTGCATTGACCCTGCCCTTGACAAAACACAGTGCACCAACACCAGCAGCTGACATGGCACCCCAGACCATCACTGACTGTGGGAACTTTACACTGGACTTCAGGCATTTTGGCATTTCCTTCTCCCCAGTCTTCCTCCAGACTCTGGCACCTTGATTTCCGAATGACATGCAAAACTGAGCAACAGTCCAGTGCTGCTTCTCTGTAGCCCAGGTCAGGCGCTTCTGCCGCTGTTTCTGGTTCAAAAGTGGCTTGACCTGGGGAATGCGGCACCTGTAGCCCATTTCCTGCACACGCCTGTGCACGGTGGCTCTGGATGTTTCTACTCCAGACTCAGTCCACTGCTTCCGCAGGTCCCCCAAGGTCTGGAATCGGTCCTTCTCCACAATCTTCCTCAGGGTCCGGTCACCTCTTCTCGTTGTGCAGCGTTTTTTGCCACACTTTTTCCTTCCCACAGACTTCCCACTGAGGTGCCTTGATACAGCACTCTGGGAACAGCCTATTTGTTCAGAAATTTCTTTCTGTCTTACCCTCGTGCTTGAGGGTGTCAATGATGGCCTTCTGGACAGCAGTCAGGTCGGCAGTCTTACCCATGATTGCGGTTTTGAGTAATGAAACAGGCTGGGAGTTTTTAAAAGCCTCAGGAATCTTTTGCAGGTGTTTAGAGTTAATTAGTTGATTCAGATGATTAGGTTAATAGCTCGTTTAGAGACCCTTTTCATGATATGCAAATTTTTTGAGACAGGAATTTGGGGTTTTCATGAGCTGTATGCCAAAATCATCAGTATTAAAACAACAAAAGACCTAAAATATTTCAGTTGGTGTGCAATGAATCTAAAATATATGAAAGTTTAATTTTTATCATTACATTATGGAAAATAATGAACTTTATCACAATATGCTAATTTTTTTTAGAAGGACCTGTACATGCTGCCTAATTTTGAGGTGAATATTGTCTAGTGCCATGAAATATAAAATAATAAATATTATTGAAACAAAATATCGTAAAAATTTCATTAGAATTTTTTACGTTTATTGTCTTCAGTCTGTTTTAACCATTGAGGAAATGTGAGCCCTAAGTGAGGAAAACCAGAGGGTTAGAGAAGAATGGCATATTTTTTATATGGGCTAAATTTACAAAAAACAACTAAATGTGAACCATTTGTGTGCTCTTTAAAAAAAGAAACAGCCTGTAACATCTAAATTGGCATAACAGGGCTATCTGTTTGTCCAACCAAGGGCAGACAAGGGCAGGATGAAACAGCCAGGGTACGTTTTAATCAGCTCCCTAGTTCAGTAGTCAGGGCACTGGCCAGGCAGTCGGCCATTTTAAGGGCTGTCTCAATCGCAGAATCCTTTCAGGGCACTGAAACTTTCACTCCCTAAAAAGTCCCACAATACACTGTAAAAACCAGGGAGCATCGAAGCTTACTATGTTCCCTTAACGGAAGTTCTGAAACACGAAATTAAATCATGTGAGCCAACTCACAACTACATGCGATAGATGTTTTTTAAAATACAAACCATTATTTAATTATATTTCATCATAAACATACATCGCTAGACAGATAATGAACATAACCTAGCTAACATTTACAATTTATTCACGGCTGAAATGTTGCACGTATATGTAACAAGCAAAATATTTCTCATAATACTTTAAATAACATTACAATGAATTTCAGAAATAAATCTTTGCTGTTGTTCATAAATACCAGTTGTGTTGTACAATGAGGACGTTGTCTTGTCGCCAGAAATAGTCATCAGTGTCCCATTGTGTAGTGAGTCAGCATCCTTTTCTGTCTTACCAGTGCCCGAATTTGTGAACACAATATACTGATTAATGAGCTCGGGAGCTTATTAAGAGACGCACTCCTATATTGGCTTTACCAACCATGTGCATTTGGGGTGGGGATGTTTGTCCAAACAATGGCAGACAGGGGGAGTCAGCCTGCAACAGCTCTATTGGCATAACCAACTGTGTGCATTTGGGGCAGTAATGGCTGACAGGGGGAGTAATGCAAAAATTACACTCACTACAAGAAATCCTGCTTATTATTTGCGAGTGACATTTTAATTAATGTCATGGGGCAAAGGCATTAATCTTATAAGCTTGCATGTATTTGCAGGGAAAGTTTATTCGTCATGGACTGTGGGCATACAGCAGACATCCAAACTACTTGGGGGAGATCCTGCAATGGTCAGGGCTGTTCCTGTCCGCTTCCTCCGTCATGAGTGGACCTCAATACCTCAGTGCGGTTTCTCCGCTCTTCGTCTGGTTCTTACTGAGACATGTTAGTGGGATCCCCATCCTTGAGAAGCAAGCTATGAAGAAATGGGGATCAGACCCGGCTTTCCAGAACTACATCAAGAACACTCCCCTCCTATGGCCCTTCCCCAAGTTTAAAGGAGAATAAAGCATATTTTCAGCACTTGCTTGTGACAAATGAACAATGAAAGCTTATGTGAATGTCTGATATAGACACCTAAGTGAGAGTAAAAATAAACTATGTCCTCATTCCTAGATCAAGTTTCTTAATTATAACAGTTACAGTACACCTAATTACTTTGTAATCCTTTCTTCAAGAAATCCACCAATACTTATTTCTCCATTGATTCAACTACCCAGTCTTCTAACATTCTGGCACACTTTTGTTTTTGTATGTATTTTAAATGTGAACATTTACATCCCACCACTTTTAACTCTAAACCCCAATGAAATGTTTTTTTAAAGAAAAAAAAAAACACAATTGACTTATGGACTGGCAATAAATGAATGTATTTTACAAACAGCACAAGTCTTACAAAATGTCACACCACTCAAATTGAAAAGCAACTAGAATTGATAAATCGACTCCAATGTTCAACATAATAAACAGTTGCTCTTTGAAAACAATGAAAAATGGACAAATCAGCAATGCACACAACTACTGCTCCAGAAACACTGCACCACTGAAAGAAATGATCAATTGCATACAGTGAAAAGCATCTAATCAGTCCAAGTCTTTATACTATAGGTACATTAGATGCTTCAAAATCAGTCAATTCTCCCAGAGGGCACCTTTTTTGCTTATACTTTAAATACGGTATACAATTAAATAAACGGAGACAGAACTGCATATAGACAAATCAATGCCATTGAGAAAATCTGAAATAATTCTGGCCATGTTCGTTTATGAAAGCTAAAATGCCCACCACAACAACCAATAATGTTTTTGCATGCAAATAGCATTCAATTATCTTACATTTTTCTTGCTGTCCTGAATCCCTCTATAAACAACTCTCAGAGGGTTCAATGCATTTCAAACACCACAAATGGATAATTTAAACAAATTCAAAACATCATCAGGAGCATCATTTTAACACAAATTATGTATTATACCTACTGGCTGTGAAATTTAAGCTGGACTATGTTTAAAAACACAGTTTACACTATATAGAAAAATCTGTCACTACATCATTGAACCCTCCAAGAGATTGAGATTTAAGGTAAAGCATAGTCGTTCAATGTAAAGCATAAAATTAGAATATACAAAGTTACAGTCGCAGATTATGCTATACAAATCCTGCATAAAGCATAACCTTTTTGTTCTAGATGCAACAATCAAGTTCAGGTTTCTTCATAAAGAACTCCCAAACTGATGCAGATTCTGTTATTCTATGAGGATTCAGTGACTGATGGAAGTGCTTATATCAGCCCATCGCTTTGGTTGTGAGGATGTTAATAGTACATTTAAAAGTGACTAAAATACAAATGTTACAAGAAAACTAAAAAGAGGTAAGATAAAAAGAGTAGCGTTAAAATGGTTTGAATTGATGGACAAACCAGACATACAATACGCTAGTAGGACAATGTAATATATTGCAGCTGTTTCCCAAAGAAAAGAAAAACTCTTAGCCATGAAGAGCTGAACTGCTTCAGGGCTACTTCAGGAGAGGCGAGGCGAAGAAGTTCCCCTGGCGAGAGACGCTGACTGGAGCTCTGCTCCTGCTAGCAAACCTGAAAACAGAACGGATGTTCATAATGGTTAGCTCACAAATACTCAAACAGCTGTGTCATACTACTATAAAACCCGCTAAGGTTCAAACATACTTTGGAGTGATTGCGTTGAGAGTTGCGTTCTTCATGCGTTGGGAGAGAGAGCTGGACGAAGGGGTCTTGCTCATCTGCTGGTCAGGAGTCGTCACGGGCCCAAACATACTTGCTAGAGTACAAAGAAAGGATGTTGTTATAGAATATCACTATCAGACTTTGGAAATAGCTAAGAGTTTTGTTAAATGTTTGTATGTGAAATTCATACTTTTCTGATCAGGAGTTGCGTGGACATTGGCGTTCTCAATGATCATGTGATTGTGAGCTTGGTCGTTGTTGCCGATCATAAACTGACTCCAGTACTCCACAGGCAGACCGAGGAGACGCTCAACCACCTGAGAGAGAGAAAGAGCTTGGTGGAAAAACTGGTCCAAAACACCATACATTTACAAACTAGACCCAATGGGGGAAAAGAAAAGTGGGGACCTTTAGCCATGAGCACTTACTTTTGGCTGTCGTTTTGTGTCTTGCAGGATGGTCATTGGCTCTGGGTCAGGCACGCCATGACCCACAATTGTAGGTCCAAATACACGAGCCAGATTAGTGCCATCCATCTTTGTATCTGTGCTCTGGGCCACTCTAATGATGACAGAAATAATACCCAAGTTTAATATGAAGTCTCACAGCCTAAAAACTGCCTTCCGAGAGAAGTGCTGGGTTTTAATATCGTATACAAGAATGTGTTGCTCTAAACTAAGCTGGATTGATAGCGGTACTTAACATACAAATTATAATAAAATATAAAAAAAGATATGTAATAGCTTTTTAATTTGGTGTAAATGGAGTGAATACATCAAAACCATACAATGACACTTTTATTGAACTGTAAATGGACTGCAAGGTAGTTCCTTATTTAGCTCCATGTTACATTGTACGCATTTGCTGTTAAAAAACAGGGAAACTACAAAAAAGTGTTTCCAGAATTGATGCCATAATATCTGGTAACAATTTTGTAAACACAATAATACAAATATGTTGTGTTATTGTAAAAACAATGCCTATCAAGGTAATCGAATGCTTTTATGTTGTTTAAAAAAAGAAAATTAAACTTCCAGATTAAACCTTTTTTTCCCCCCCAACACTTATAACTGCTAGATAGAGCATTTACAGCAGCATAAATAAATTAAAATTGCAACACTATGTCAGGAGTATGACCATCACACTAAAAGCAAAGTTTAAGGTAATGGTTAAATACAGGCTTCATATTTCTGCTTTTACACCAGGGTAATTGCCCCTAAATGCCCCAGTTTTTAACAAACTGATCAAATTGCTTTGAACCTGAATTATTCCTTTAAAGTTACAAATGTTAATGTAAGTGTTGACTTTAATAATTAAATAGTATTTGCAAATGGTACAGGCAATAAACCAGACAGTAGAATCAGAAATGGTGTATGATGTTTACCTCTGCAAATGAATGATGAGGAAGGCCAGAGTGTCTCTGTTGGGCTGTGGAAGATCACTGATGTTCTGATATATTAAGGCAATGCTGTTGTCATCATCAGACAGCTCTATGAGAACAGAGTGAATGGTTACTATTGAGTGTACTAATATTAACACATCCATCTTCCCAAGTACACCACGGATCAACATTTTGGGGTCAGTGAGATAAGATTTATAAGATAAGTAATTCATTCTATTATTCAGCAAGGACACATTCAATTGATCAAATACTTTCTATATAAAGAAAAAAGAAATGTTTTAGAAGCGAATCAGCATATTTGAATGATTTCTGAAGGATCATGTGATACTGAAGACTGGAGTAACGATGCTGAAAGTTCAGCTTAGCCATCACAGGAATACATGTCACTTAGTATTAAAATAAGATTAAGTTATTTTAAATAGTATTTCTTCCACAATGTTACTGTTTTTTGATCAAATAAATGCAGTCTTGGTGAGCATGAGACTTTTTAAAAATCGTACCGACTAGGGCTCAGTATCAATTCAGATGTCCCGGTTAGATTTTGATTCACAAGATCTTAATTCGATTCTCAATTGAATACAATTTTCACTGGCCCCACCGCAAAAAAAGTAGTAATAACTGAATAAAATGGGCCTAGTTATTGTTTTTGATAATTATAAATAATAAAACTAAATAATTAAACAACAAGCAAATGGCACAAATAAATAAATGCAATCGAACAAAGACACAAATGAAATAACCAGTGCTTTCAAAGTTTTTCAGGTTTGTCTAACAGTAGTTTTCCAGGTACAGAAATTGAACGAAATAATCTAATGTAAAATAACACTGCATATAATCTTCACAGTACAAATTAAATAAACAAAATTAAAGAAACAAAAAAGTTATTCAATGAAGAGCAGGGAGTGATTTTCCATCTTTTGTAGTTTGATTAACAAGAAGACTAGAAATAAGATTGATGTTAATCAGATATGTTCAATGTTTGCGGAAATAAATATATGAGAAAAAAAAAAAATCGGGTTTGTGGCTTTTGAGAATATATGAAGAGTTTGGTTTCAAAACGCGATAAACGCCATTTTTTTTTTAAATTAGTTACTGCAAAAATCAGTATAAAATCAGTATTGTATCTGGTTGGTATTGAAAAGTCAATGTTTAATTTTAAGTAAAATGCGATATCCGCCGTGTTATTCTGTCATGTTTTCTCCCTTTCTTTCCAAACCGCGACAAACGCCAGTCTCCCTTCTCTGCAGAATGCGAAATAATCACAACGCACCATTCCACGCAATGTAAACAGTAACGGCAGCGCCTTAAATACACCCGGCTTTCTAGTATTTCTTATCTATTTTGTACTTTTCGATCAACAAACAAACAAAAAAATGAATAATTTTGACGGCATTGATGAACCTGTGGTTGTTTCTGCGGTGGGTAAGAAACGTAAGGCATCGAAATCGAATCATTTTCGTGAGAAGATTAAAGCTCCAGTCCGTAACTTTTTTAAGTTAAAAATAATCCAAAATAATTATATTAAAAAAAAAACTTATTCTGCCAGTGGTCAAAACTATCTGCTTGCCATAGCTAGATTCAAACCGGTTAGCTTGTAACAATGATTTTAATTCCAGTGGTACTGGTGGGTTTCCGCGGGAAATTCGAGCATGTCTTTGCGTCATTACGTCACACCCATACACATAAAGAAGGAGTTTCGGCTAGCCGGCTATACTGCGCGTGACGAGATGTTTAGATGTATAGGCTTTTCTCGCAGCACTTTACATAATTAAACTTATGGCATCCAGAAAGATCCAAACAACAATCATCAGTGTCAACTGGAGATTCAGCAGTTATAAAACCCAAAAGACTTCGTACTTCGGATTTAAGGTGGCTAGAGAAAGAGAAAGAAACCGTCTCATGCGAACACAAGGATTTAAACATCGGCGGGGCTTTTGAAAACTGCGTGAACTCCGTGTTTTGAAGGGGTTCAAAACGGA